GGTGGTGCTGTGAAGGCCACAAGGGTGGGGAGGGGACGTGCATGGCTTTGGAGGGGAAGGAATAAAGGGGTCAAGGAAGACCTCTCCAGGAGTTCACTTCTTTGCAGACTAAAAGGATCTGGCTGAGAAAGTAGCTGGGAAAGAATGTTCCAGTGGGAGAAGGGGTGGGGACCTGTTTGAGGGCCATGTGTGTGCTGGAGCATGGGCGTGAGGGCCATAGGTGGTGAGTGCTGTTCAGCATGCTGACATGCTATCCCCAGTGTGCTAGGAGAAGGGCATTGTGATCGGATCTGTCTGTTCAAAGGGGTCTCCTGGCTGCTTTTGGGGGGGGAAGGAAATTAAGGGACTCGGTGACAAAGTTTGTGCCCATGCAAGTAAAAGATGTTGGGGGCCAGGCTCTCTGTTACATTGGAGGCAAAGCAGAGATGGGTGGGTTCTCTGTTTGAGAGGCCTGGTTACCACATCCTTTGCTGCAGAGCTGGAAGCTAGAGTAAGAGAAAGCATGAAGGTGAACCCTAGAGCTTTGGCCAGAGCATGTGGCAGAGGGGAATAATATTTTTTAAAGATGTATTTATTTATTTGAAATGCAGAGTGGCAGAGAGGCAGAGGCAGAGAGAGAAGAGAGAGAGAGGTCTTCCATCCACTGGTTCACTCCCCAAATGGACACAACGGCTAGAGCTGCACCGATCCAAAGCCAGGAGCCAGGAGCTTCCTCCAGGTCTCCCATGCAGGTACAAGGACCCAAGGACTTAGGCCATCTTCCACTGCTTTTCCAGGCCATAACAGAGAGCTGGATCAGAAGTGGAGCTGCCAAGACTTAAACCAGCATCCATATGGGATGCCAGCACTGTAGGTGGCAGCTCTACCCACTACACCACGGCACCGGACCCAGGGGATAATATTTATTACAATGGGGAAGGCCAAGGAAGAAGACTCTGTGTATGTGTGAAGGGTGAGCCTGAAATCCAGGGTCCTGGTATGAATGTGTTCAGTTCTAGAATCATATTAGATGCCTGTGGAGTTATCATGCAGTTTGGGGGTCCATAGAGGACTGGAGACTTTAGATGGCAGTTGAGTGTTGGTCTAGATGAGAAGCCATGTAGACAGGGATCTGTACCCTGCAAGTCTGTGCCCCACAAAAGTTTGTGTTGAAACCCTAGCTCCCAAGGTGATGGAATTAGGAGGCAGGGCCTTCTGGGTATCTTTCAGTCATGGGAACAGAGCCCTCATGAATACATTCATGTCCTCAAAAGAGAGAATGCAGAGTGACCCCTTGTCCCTTCTGCCATGTAAGGACACAGCAAAAAAAAAAGCTCCATCTGTGAACCTGGGAGCGAGCCCACACCAGAATCTACACCTGCTGGTTCCTTGGTGTTGGACTTAACTGCTTCTAGAACTGGGAGCAATGCATGCTTGCTGTTCATAGGCCACCCAGCCTATGGCATTTTGTCATGGCAGCCTGGACAGACTGCAACAAAAAGGAGAGGAAGGACCCAGGCCTTACAGTACTGGGAGAACAGGAAGAGAAGGGGTCAGCAAATGAGGCCGAGGGGAGGAAGGAGGTAGACATGCTGTCACCAAGAGCAAGGGGAGAGGGACACAGACAGTGGGCAGTTAACTGCCCAGAACTCTGCCACCAGCCTCTGGCTTCAGGATCCCTGCTGTCATTCCCCATACCTCCTTCTTGGTTTGTCTCCATATCACTCATGCCTGCTCTTCCCATGGACTTCAGGCATTTGCTTTTTTGTCGAGTGCATTGACCATCTTCCCATGAGAACTCTACACCCTAGGCCACTGAGTTTTGCCTCTTTTGCATATTTCCGCACTGAGGTGTTTTCAGCACCCGGGACAGAGCCTGGCATCGCCCAGGTGTTTGACCAAGCACTTGTTGATGAGCCATGGCTGGCTGAAGACTGAGGCTAAGTACCAGCCTGGGTAGGGTGGATGCATCTGTGCTGAGATGGAGAGCAAAGCTAGACTGGCTTCTGTCTAAGAGGAAATGCAGAGTAGGGAAAGCGGACGGAGGAAGCAGAACTTTCTCAGGGGAGGTTGGATACTCTGCAGAGCAGAGAGAGTGGGGAAGCCAAGAGAGGCCTCTGCTTTGCTTCCAGATGGGACACAATAAGGACTTTTACTTGCTGAGTGTGCATAGGGTGCAGGGCTAGGTGGGGTGGGGGGCACTGACAGTGCAGATACAAGGGGATGACGTAGGGATGAGGACAAAAACCTCTGTAGGGGGCAACAGAAGCCATCTGGAATCTGAGCACAGAAAAGGGGCCGTCTCCTGGTAGAGCAGCTGTGGTCCACTCAGCAGATGCAGGGTGGGGGAGGTCGGAAGAGAAACATGTGGGGTCAACTTAGGGGAGGGATATGAAGGGCTGAAGCTTCCTTCTGATTGAAGTCCTCACCTGGGGGAGAAGGGAAGAAGGAAAAGAGCAGCAGATCTAAGGGCCCCCAGGGAATACACGCTACTGAAGTTACCAAGAGCAGGCATGGACTGGCACGATGGGGTGGTCTCAGGCCCAGTCCACATTTAAGGTTATCCATCTAGGCTCAGGCTGGGTGGTATACTCATGCATCTCTAACCCGCTGAGCTGCCCTGTTAAAGTAGAGGTGATGGAGGTTGAGTTGGCGCAGATGCATCAATCGGCCTCTACACCAGCCACAGAAGGATTCGCAGCACCTCAAGGCCAGGCAGGTCTGAGCAGCAAGCCAGAGCCACAGCCTTACAAGGGGACGGATTTCAGCCAAGACCTTCCCTGGTATCACTTTGGCCCCTACTATTGAGAACCACTCAAAGCAGGACCATCTGGCCTCACAGCTTCTGATTCTATGCCCTTTGGACAGCGTCACTGGTCCCCGCCCACCCTGCCTGCCTGGTGCCCAACCCCACCAGCTGCCTCTGTCCCCACTCTTCCTTCCTCGGCCTCCCAGAGTCCACACACACACTTGGCTCTGGCATTTTCCAGATCTCTGCATTCACTTCTGACTTCCAAACGTGGACTCATGGAGTTCCTGGGGACAAAGGCTGCCACCTCTCCCTGATGAGAATGCCCTCAAATTTGGCAGCTCTGAGCTGCTTCCACCTGTCATAAGTCAGATGGAACCAATAGCCACCCAGCTCAGGCCAGGTAAACCGCTTGAGGCCTGAGAAGAATGACTTACCCAGATGAGCATTTTGGCACGGTACTGGAAGGGGCTTAAAAATGACTGAGTGCCACCACGTGCCTGTTTCTAACTCCAAGTGGAGTTTTGGAGTTCGTTGCACATGGCAGTGGGGTCCTCTCACTCAGACGGCATTGCCAAATCACGTGCGCTGCCCCCTGTTTGTCTCTAGGCTTGTCTGCATTGACCCGGATGGAGCGCTCTTCCAGGCTCTCCCTGGGCTGCACGCTCCACGGCCATCTGGGTGCACCCCCACACGTCTGTCAGCTGTCAGACTCCCTGGATCTCTGTCTATTTATTGATCTGTAAATTTCCTGCCATTGTGCATCCGTCAGCAGCCCACCCCCTCCCTCTCCTCCTGCCGCACATATGCCCGCCTGCATCCCCACTTCAGCCTCACAACCACCTTCTCTCCTCCTTTATCAACTGGATTCTAGCTCCCAGAATGCACCCTCTCCCCAGCAATGGTGTCTCTGGCCCCACAGCAGCAAAAAGCATCAAAGTGCACACAGGATGCCCCTGTATGCTGCAGTGGTGTGGAAGGAGGTCTAGTCCTCGAGTTATGAAACCTACTTCCTACCTGACCATCTAGAAGCCGTCCGAGTCATTCCCCATGTCCAATCAAGAAGCTCAATGCCACCTATCCTCTAGAACCAGTCTGTGGTTGAGTGACAGGATGTCACTGGATGTCTAGCTCAGTTCACAGGGCAGGGTAGGGCTGTAAAAGGCTCCTCAATCCATGGCATAAACCTCAAACATAGGACGTTGACAATGATTGAATCATTGCTCCCACTGTTAAGAGTTGCATGCACTTCATTGTCCAAGGCTTAATGGCTTTGATCATCAATGTGTGGTCCCTCAAGCAGCTCAGAATTTCTTTAAAAAAGCCAAATATCAGTCCCCATTGTCAATTGTTTTGAATCAGAGTTGACACTTTAGCAGAATTCCCAAGACGTTGAAAGAGAGAGGGTGCTTGAGGCCAGCACCGTGGTGCAGTGGGTTAATCCTTCGTCTGTGGCGCCGGAATCCCATATGGGCGCCAGTTCTAGTCTCGGCTACCCCTCTTCCAATACAACTCTCTGCTGTGGCCTGGGAAAGCAGCAGAAGATGGCCTAAATGCTTGGGCCCCTGAGCCCGCATGGTAGACTGGGAAAAAGCACCTGGCTCCTGGCTTCAGATCAGCGCAGCTCTGGCCATTGCAGCCATCTGGGGTGTGAACCAATGGAAGAAAGACCTTTCTCTCTGTCTCTCCCTCTCACTCTCTGTACCTCTACCTCTCAAATAAATAAATAAAAAATCTTAAAAAAAAGAGAGAGAGAGAGACAGTGTGCCATGGCTTGCCCCTTTTGTATAGAAGCCAAAACGTGGATCTACACAGGATAACAATCAGCCCTGGGTCACACAGAAAGCACATGGCAATCTGTGGGTTCCAAGAGATTTCCCTGACTTACGAATTTACCTGCCATGCAGGGTCTGCTGTGAGAGTATTCACACGCACCCACCCAGGCTCACACCTATGGAAAGAGGCTGGACAGCCGCTCAACAGATGCAGAACCCATGGTCTGAAATGCTCAGTCTTCAGCAGAGCCCAAGACAGCCAAGAACTAGAGCAAGAGCACTAGTCTGGGAATCCAAAAACTTCCACTGAGAGCCGGCGCCGTGGCTCAATAGGCTAATCCTCCACCTTGCGGCGCCGGCACACCGGGTTCTAGTCCCGGTTGGGGCGCCGGATTCTGTCCCGGTTGCCCCTCTTCCAGGCCAGCTCTCTGCTATGGCCAGGGAGTGCAGTGGAGGATGGCCCAGGTGCTTGGGCCCTGCACCCCATGGGAGACCAGGAAAAGCACCTGGCTCCTGGCTCCTGCCATCGGATCAGCGCGGTGCGCCGGCTGCAGCGGCGGCCATTGGAGGGTGAACCAACGGCAAAGGAAGACCTTTCTCTCTCTGTCTCTCTCTCTCACTGTCCACTCTGCCTGTTAAAAAAAAAAAAAAAAAAAAAAAAAAAAAAAAAAACTTCCACTGAGCCAGCTGTGTGATCTGTGCCAGTGACTCTCCCTCTTTGAGACCCGGTTCTTCATTTATAAAGCAAGATGATTCAACCAGATATTACAACAATGTACCTCTCTTACTGTCCTTTTTGCACTGAGGATAATTCTGTTTTGACAATCATAGGCATGATGAGTTTGTCAGTGTTTCTGTTTGATGTCAATTATCACTAAAGCGATGACACGAGGACCGGGAGTGAAAGAAAAGGAGGTTAAGAAGTTGTGGGGGAATCGCTGAATGGAGCCCAGATTCCCTTACAGCGACTCCTTCTCCAGGAGTCCTGTGTCAGTTAGGCTGGTGATTATTCTGAGTCTGTTTGCAGAACTAGAGGCCCTGTCATATATCATTCCTAGGGGTTTTTTCTCGAGGGGGTTATGGACCAAGGACATCTGGTGCCTGAGGCTTTACGTCTGTTGCTGTGATCATCTAAACTGAGGAAGGGCCTATAACACTCCAAATGCTGGTGCCCAAAAATCTTTAATTCCGTCCGAAGGGTCGGGGTTATTTCTCCATCGGGAGTGCTAATGGGATTCTAATACCCTGGCAAATGGGATTTTTTACAACTGCCATTCTGCAGTTACTGAGATGGCGTGTCGCTGGGACAGCCCTATAAATCCTGCCAACTCGCTCCGAGGAGGAGGAAGAAGAGGAGGAGGAGAAGGAGGGGACCACCAGCAGAGGCAGCTCACTCTGGAGCTGGTGGGTGCTGGGTCAGGGCGCTGCCCAGGGCCTGGTTCTTAGGCTGAGTTACTGCACGGATGCCTGTTCAGCTGTCGAAAGATGACAGGGTCCACAGCCCCAGGGCTTCAGAGAAACCAGATGGAGTTTGATTGGAATGAGGCAATGGCTCTATAGGAGACGCTCTGTGCTCTATGCCTCTTGCCCTTTGAAGCTTGGTTTTCCAAGATATCTGTTTCTGAGGGCTCATGGGAAGAAGTCCAAGGATATTTGCCAAGAGCCGGTACCTCTGTCATTTAAACTCAGTGGAATAGAACCAGAGAAAGGTTCATGGGGGATGAAGAGGAAAAGGGGCAGATATTTGGCCCAGTGAGAGCTTGGCATGTATCAGAGTGCCTGGTTTTGAGTCCCAGCTCTGCTCCCGGTTCCAACTTCCTACTGCTCACCCCAGGAGGCAGCAGGTGACAGCCAAGTAGTAGGAGACCTGGATTGAGTCGTTGGCTGTCCCCAGCAACGGCCCCCAGCAATGGGCCGTTGTAGGTATTTGGGCTGTGAACCAACAGATGGAATCTCTGGATATCTCTGAAATAAATTGAATAAAGAAACAAACATTTAAAAATAAGAAGAAAAATGAAATAGAGCCCATACTGGTGTCAGCGCTAAAATGGATGTCTGTCTGCCACAGTAAAAAATTGGTAGAAATAATAGATATTCAATGCTGAGAGTAATTGCTGTTCCAGTCTGAGTTCCTTTAGGGGGCCAGGTCCCTTCTGTCAGGACACTCTCTGCAGACAAGCTTTCAATTGGACAGCAGAATACGTCAGTAAAATGGGCTCAGGAAATCATATTCTTTCCACTTGAACGATGAAAAATAACAGTGGAAGCCTTAAATTGCTTGCTTCAGGGCACAGCTGTTTCAAGTCACTGAAAACCTCAACCCCAGATTTGTGGCTTTGAACCCAGTCTGTGCTTCCCCAACTACTCCACTGTGAATCTTGCGGGAAGATGCTGGACCAGGCTGACCCCGCTTTCGTCCTCCAGGTCAAGCTGTCCCAGAAGGAAAACATCAGCAAAAAGTGACCTCGAATTGGGGGCTCAGGATTGCTTATGAGCTGGCAGTCTTGCCAGTGACCTCCTAGTTATGACATCCAGGGGTTCCTTTGGGTCTCCCTTCTACCCCGTCCTCAGGGGAGGTCTCTAAATTCTCTCTGGTTTTGCATTCCTTTTGCAAACATTGATTGTGCTGTCGCCTTCCTCTCCCAGACACAGACACTGAATGGATGATCCCGCAGTAGCCTCGCACTGGGTAGCGGGCATGTTTTATCCTTGCGGCAGTGTAAGCTTCTCCAGGGCAAGACTGCAGCAAGCGTTCACTGAGTAAATAATGTGCATGTAAGTAGACCCTCTGGATGACAGGAAGGGCTAGGAGACCCAGTTCCAGTCTTCAAGGACCTTACAAATTTCCTGGGGAGACAGGGTATATCCGTAAATTGAAATCCAAGTACAGTGTGACTGTGTTATCATTCTTCATAGTAGTCACCAGTCTCGCAGCAGACGAGTGTCCTCCCATCCTCCCATCAGAAGACGAGGTTGGGACTGTAATTCCTTCCTTAGAGATAAGGAAATAGAGGCTTGACTAAGTGAATGGAGACTTGTCCAGATTTTTGTTGCCAGAAGCTGTTTAGCTAAAACTCCATCATCTGCAGCTCGCTGTTTTGAAGAGCATGGGGCTGGTAGAATAAAATCATGCAGCTCTGAACAATGCAAATAGAGATACAACCAAGCATCAAAGCAAAAAGAAAATCATTGAACAAGAGGGAGGCATGTCAGAGAAGGAGATTAGGTTTCCACTGTTCTAGAGTTTCTTCTCCCTGGCTCCACGGCTGTGCTCTTGGTGGTGCCTGTGGAGGAAGGGCCGGGGCTCTGGAAGCCACTTGGCCATCGTGGGGTCGGGATGCTAGGGTCCCAAATCCCACCTCTCCTCTTGCCTCTGGCCAGTCAGCTGCCAGAGGCACATTTCACTCTAACCTGGCTCCACAAGCCTGTACTTCCTGCAGCAAGTTTTAGACAACAGCAAAACCTACTCTTGCTCCCACACAGCATCTCTGGGTTGTTCTCTAAGTACACAGTTGGCCCCCTGAATCTACAGGTTCCATATCTGTGGGTTCAACCAACCGCAGATTGAAAATACTCACAAAAGGGGTTGGTGCTGCAGCATAGAACATTGAACTGTTGCCTGCAGTGTCAGCATCCAATATGGGTTCCAGTTTGAGTCCCGGTTGCTCCACTTCCTATCCAGCCCTCTGCTAAGGGCCTGGGCAGGCCATAGAAGATGGCCCAAGTTTTAGGACCCCTGCCACCCATGTGGGAGACCCAGAAGAAGCTCCTGGCTCCTAGCTTTGGCCTGGCCCAACCCTGGCCATTATGGCCATTTGGGGAGTGAAACAGCTGATGGAAGATTCTCCTCCCCTATCTCTGCCTTTTGAATAAATAAATATATCTTATAAAAAGAAAGAAGACACTAACAGAAAGAAAAATGTGTCTGATCTGAACATACACAAGCTTTCATCCCTGTCATTATTCCCCAAACAACACAGGATGACAGCTATTTAGATAACATTTACATTGATTACATATTACAAACCATCTAGAGATGGTGTGAAGTCTACAGGAGTGTGTGTGCAGATTATGTGAAGAGACTAAGCCAATTATGTAAGGGACTTGAGCACCTGTGGAGTACTGTAGGGGCACCCCATGGGTACACGGGCATGATGATTTAGGGGAACAGAGGGGTTTGCTTAACCAAATCTCCTTCCTGGTTTCCTAGCTGCCTGAAGAATGGGGCTCATACCTTGGTTGAAATCAGGTTCCAACTCTCAGAAGCCATAAGATTCGGTCAAGTTACGAGCTTTTAAGCATCAAAGAACTTTGGCTTCATTTATTTTCTCAATGCAGATAATAAGTATTACCTACCGTATGACTGTTACCTATCAAGTGATGAGGATTGCTTTTATGATATTGTCACTAGACCTTTAGAAAAGTCTGGAGGATCTTTGTAACTAGACAGACAGGGATTCAGCTCCCACTGTCCTTCTCTGTTGGCTCACATGTCCCACCCTGCAGTAGAGTGTTGAGCCACACTTAGAGCCTATTGCTTCCTCTTGGGCACCTGGCACAGAGCTCTGCCTTCTGCCCAGGCAGGCTAGACTGACCACCTGACCATTAGAAGAGCTCTCTCTCCAGTACTGTGTGCCTCCTGATTCTCTGGAAGGGGCTAGGAGCCATCCGTGTGGAAGGCAGCTGGCAAACTGTGTTCCAGCTTAGGTTTGGGTCCCAATTCACTTTATGGTTGAAGGAAGTAACTAATCTTCTTAGAAACTCCGGGTCTGCAGGTGGAACGGGGCTCTCCAGGGAAGCAATCCCATGAGGATGCTTTTGTCAGCTACCACCCTCTCAGCTCAGGCCATGTGGTCACCTGAGCAAGGCCATCCTCTGAGACCTGCAGTACATTGGATGCAGCTGAGTAAGAAAGAGAGGGACACGTTGCAGGGACCAGCAGCAGAAGTTCAGGAGGACTGGGCGGCAGGAAAGGCTGGACAGCAGCCAGGGGATGAGCCCTGCACAGCCACACCCTCACTGAATCAAAGTGAGACAGAGACAGGCTCTCAGTGGCCTTCAGCCTTGGCCTGTGGCTGGCCAGGACCCTGGGGAAATTCACACCAGCACACCCCTCTCAGTCCCCTGCTCTTAGGGATGATTTGAGTGCAGCGAGGCCAATGCCCTCAGACAGCCCTCTGAAGCTGAAAGCCACAGGTGAGCCTGAATTGCATCCCACACTTAAGAAAACACACACAACGCAACAAAAGCCCTGAGGTTATACATATTAATGACTGGGTCCAGTCTCCACTTAGGATTGATTTTTCTGCCTTTCCAATTGCAGGAAGCCAGAAAGATGGGATTATTGTCTTGGGCAATCACGCCAAGGCACCTGGCAGCTGTGTGCTCCAACTCCTTTCTCTGCCTGCTGCCAAAATGGGCAACGTCTGGCTTTATTCTGTCCCCAGAATCCTCCCTGCTCACAGCACAAACGGAGGCCTTTGCCGACTCTCATTAGAACCGGGAGTGCTTTGCAATGCCAATCTTGGTCAGAGTGACCTTTGCAAAACAGCTTGACCCCCACCTGGGGCGGCGGCCAGGAGACCCAGTGCTTACCCTGTGAGCCAGGATTTCCAGTCGTAGTGAAACCAGGGCCACCTGCTGTCTAGACAGACTATCACCAATATCCAAAAGGGAAAGAAATACAGCACAGGGCCTGGAGAGGTAGCCCCCTGGGCAAGGATGGAGACCCACAGGTTCCAAATGGCATGGTCCACTTGCTAATCCCAAACCTGATAGCCTAGATGCTCACCGTGCAGGAGCCTGTGGCTCGAGCGTCCTGGAAGGAACCGTGGCTCAAACCGCCCTGCTCCTTAGCTCTCAGTCACAGGATACACGCACAGTGAGGCATGTGTGGAATTGATTATGGAAATAATGTGTTCTGTGTTTGTTCGTTTGTCTCGTTTGTTCACTTCCTGGATCTATTTAACATCTCTGTCCGTGTCCTTGCCACCAGCTCCTATGGCAGGGCCTCAGTGGATGGTGCCTGCTGTCCTGTCTCTGCACTGCCCAGACTCCAGCCAGCCCAGGCCCAGCTTTCCTCAAGACAGAGCTCCAAGAGAGTCCCCTGGCGCCCCTCAGCTGGATGGAGAGCCTGGGGTGCCCCTGAAGCCAGGCATATCCCTGGCAGGTTTTTATTTACTTGAAAGGCAGAGAAACAGAAAAGTGGGGAAGAGGGAGAGAGAGAGACAGAAAGACAGAGAGATGGAGAGGGGTCTTCCAACCACTGATTCTCTCCCCCTGATGCCTATAGCAGCTGGGGTGGGCAAAGTCAAAGCCAGGAACCAGGAATTCCATCCAGGTCTCCCATATGGGTGGCAGGGATCCAACTGCTTGAGTCTGTCTCCTAGGGTGCACATTAGCAGGAAGCTGGAATCAGGAGCAGAGCTAAGACTTGAACCCAGGCACTAGGATGTGGGGCTTCCAGGCTGCATGGAGCCAAACGCCCACCCTCCTGGCAAAGTCCATCCACAGGGTCCACCCACCTGCCCTGAGGAAGTCCGTGTCAAATACTCTGGGCTTTGCTTCCTTCCTCTATTGCACTCAGGCCATCACAGCTACTCTTCTCTCTCACCCTCCCACCCCCTGCAGCCTGCTTGGCCCAGGCCCTCAGTTCCTAAGCTGAGAACAGCAGAGAAGATAGGAAATAACAGAGTGAGGCATCAAGGTGACCTTCCAGATCCAGCCTGAGGACAGATGTAGCCGGGGCTCTGTTGCTTCTCCTCTTCCTCCTCCTTCACCACAACTAGGGGCAGGGAGACCCCTGACCCTTGTGCAGTCCCCGAAGGGACAGCTTCACAGTTCCCACCTTCTCCTGGGTCGGCCCATCATTGCACTCTGCTAAGTCTCCTCTCCCACATCTTGATCTATTGGCCAATTTGGCATGTTGTTGTACAGCTTATAGGTTGCATTGCTGCGCTCTGGAGCCTTGTTCTGAGCCTGGACTCAGTAGCAGCCCTGAGACCCTCTCACATCCATCCCAGCCTCCTGCTCTCCCGCTGCAGTCAGTTCCAGGTTCTAGCCCAAGACTGCATGATTTCTTCCAGTGATGCCACATCCTTCTCATGTGCTCAGGGAGGCGTCATAGCCCCTCCCTCCCTCCTTGGAGATCAACCACCTAGAAATGCATCATCATTAGCACCTGTTCCCTGCTGGGAGGGTCTGAATGTGGGAGGGGAGACCTAGCAGAGGGCAAGCCTGGAGATGGTCCAGACAGCCTGACCAGAAATACCAAAGACCAAAAATGACCTTGAGTCACAAGTCAAGGTCAGCTGCTCCTTGAGCCTGTGTGTGACATGCAGGGCAGACGCAACAGTTTCAAGTCTACAGTAGGTGGGATTAAAGAATAAGGGCTGCTCCCTTCCAAAGTCCTTCTGCTACTGGCAGATGTGATGAAGACAGAATGAAAGAACTAATATAAAAGTGCTTTGAACTTTTTTGGGCTCAAAGGAGCTTTCAGGATCTAAGATATTCTGATTATCTTTTAGCAGGGTGATCATATTGATTCTAAGGGGCAAGGTGTCTGGGCTGCCTCTCAGAGACCTTGGAAGCTGTAAGTATTTATCCATATCATTGTGTAAAGGTTCCTTGGAGGTCCAGATTCAGAAGGAGGTTTATGAAGGTGGTGAAGGGCTCAAGGTGAAGTTTTATCTTAATTATATGCTCACCTAATTACGTGATCACAGCCCAAGGGGAAGAGAAGCAAGCATAGCTCTTTCCCTGCAGACAATCACTTGCAAGACAGTTTACCTTGTGTCATTCTCAGCCATGGCTTTTGCCTCTGCAACTGATGCTCCCAAGCACCGGCCTGAGGCTTTGGTCAGAGAACATGGGATTCACAATGATGATGATGATGATGCCAGAAAGACAGCTGACAGCATTGCTCACAGGAGAGATGGCATGGAAAACAAATAAACAACAACAACAACAACAAAACTCCCCTAACATAAACACTTGGATTTCATTTGCTAAACGAGGGTGTCTGTACGCTTCCAGGCATGGGATGTACAGTGTTTGGCTCCTCCCTTGACTGTTCCAAGTCTCTAGTTCCTTTTACGCACCTGTAGATAATATAAGCATCTACCTCATAGTGTGGGAAAATGCAAATAGGTAGGAAGCACAAAGCATCCAGTGGACTGTTTGTTGGGCACGTAATAAGTCTCCCATAATGGCACCTATTGATAACGTTGGCATTGCTGACTCTTTTTAAAAAGCCTCAGCATCACCTCTGGATGAGGTGATTGCAGCCACTACTCACTCCAAGGGAAGGAATGGGGATTCCTAGAGGAAGGTGGAACTCAGATATGTGAATTCTCCTAGTAGGGTTATGTCTGGTTCTGAACTAGTCCCATAAATCAGAAGCACTGGTCTCATCCCCAATTTTTGTGAAAGCTTGCTTAGCTGGTGTATGTCAGGTGCCTCGTACAGTGCTCAGCCCACGGTGGGGGCTCCAGCTCTCACACCCACCGTCTGTCTTGGAGAAAGGCCTTGACATTAGAGGCTATGATAAGGACCAAAGCCCTCTGCCTGTGGTCTAAGGAAGTCCCTGCTTCCACATGAACATTTAAACACCTGCTGAAGCAGCTGGGTACTCTGGATCTTTCTCTGCCTTGAACATGAGCCCTTAAATGCTGGGAATAATTAAAGGCAAAGCCGCAGAACTGGATAGAGTCACCCATCCCGAGGACAGGTGACAAATGAGGTAGGAGTTCTACATGAGTTCAAGGTGAGAATTGTAAAGATCATTTTCTGCTGGTGTCAGGGACGTTATTTTAGGAATGTGCGATTCTGGCCTTGGAAGCCAAGCTTGGTTCAAAAACGATAATTCATATGCAGTGAACACGCAGAGTTATGGTGCTAGGAGCAGAGAATTCCTCTTGCTCATTTGGCCAGTTTGGCTGCATCAGGTGTTTCAGCATAGAAATGAGAAATGTTTTAGGGAGATTGCACAAATAGAGCTTCCTGTGAATGCCCGGGCTAATGTCCAATGATTTTTGTTGAATTATCATATATACCAGCTTGGGATGGCTGGGAAAGCAAGCCCATTCTCTCCCCCAATTTGTAGGTTCAGAACTAGCCACAAAGAAAAGACTTTTGAATATGTACCTGTATGGAATTTAGGTTTTGCTAAACTTTGCCACTTTTCCAATGAGCTAAACAGAACATATTCATCCCTTGGGTAACCATGTGTATTTGTGTTTTTCTTTTTGAGCAGATAAGCTAGATATAGAGAAAGTATCACTTGATTGAACAGAGTTCCTCTAATTAATGTTTTATTTCTGGAGTATGCTTTTAATTTCTCAAAGTGCTTTTACATATATTATCTTATTTAATTTACGCAACAGTTTCGTGCAGCAGAGAGGCAGGTATTATCTGATCCCATAACACAGATGCTTCAGTGATTCACCCAGGAGATACGGTGACACTGCCAGGGCTACAGCCTCCATAGTCTGAATCTCACACCTGTGCCCACTGTACAAGATGATGCTGTTCTCCTTGGAAACACACGCCCTGAATTCGGGATTCTGAGACAGTGCTGGATTAATCTGACTAGGGGACAGGGTACTGGCAAAATGGCCCTGAGGAATGTCCTGTGTGACTGCCCAGGAGCAGGGCTGTCTCTGTCCGTCTCTCTGTCTCTCTCCACCTCACTCTCATTTTTCATGGAAAGCAGAATCTTTGGCCTCCTCCTGGGCCCTTTTAAGTGGTTCCTGCAGAAGTAGATACAGGGTCACTTCAGATTGCCTTTCAGGGTTGGCTGCTGGAGCAGGAAAAGTGAAGACAGCAGACGGTGTGCCTGTCGATCTTGATACGGCGGCAGGCCTTGGGGGACGTGTCCCCGCTGGAAATGGCTGCCGGCTTGCCTCAAGGGGGGTGTGCAGGCTGATTGGGAAGTCTTCCCCACTTTTTGCCCAGACTCAATCATTTGGGAGTGATTGGAAAGCCTGCCTTCTCATTGTGTATGCTGCGGGTGAGGCCTGAGCTGCTGATTGGGCCTCAGTTTATAGAAAACCCAATCATGCTGTCCAAATGGATGTTTGATGGGGTCTGCACCCAAAACATGGGGAGAGATTCTGAGTGATGAGGACAAAACCCAGCATCGGGCTGCCTGGATCACAGTGGCAAAGGAAGACAGCGGGGTCTCGGTACTGGGGAACCCCAGCCTCAGAAACACCCCCTTTCCTTTTCATGCCATCTCTGTTCTCCCCTGGCTGTATACACACCCTGGGTCTTACCAGTGAGCTCACTCCAGAAACGTATTCATAGGTGGGATATGCAGGCTGGCAAGTTGGCGTGCAGAGGTCTGAGTCCTGCTTCATCTGCTTACCTGCTAAATCCTGTCTTAACTTCTCCCTTTCTTCATCTTTCCTAACTGGGGACCCAAGCATCACCTTTTCACTTTTTTTTTTTTTTTTTTTTTTTTGCTCAATCAGTATAATCCAGGCAGTTTGGTCTAATTATTTGCTTGTGCTCTGCCTCTGGCACAATGGGCTTCTCCCACTCCGCGTAGCCCTGGAAGAGGGTTTATGAGATGGTATACCTGCCTTGATCTGCTCTCCAGCCTCCGACCTAGCAAGTCCATCTTCCAGCCAGTCTCCTCTCCAGTCAGCTTTCCTCACTTACTTTCCCGTTACCCACGCCTCCCTCCCACGCTGCCTCTGCTGCTCCCCTAGGTCGCAGACCCATCTGTATTCTTCAGTATTCTGGATCCCAGCTCAGCCATCCGAATTAGCCGAACACAAACATCCTCATTTACATGGAACACACAGAAGGTGACATTCTGTCTGTGACAATAGGTTGTAATTACCATGTCTCTCATTTGTATTCTGTTTTACAGCTTCTTGAATTGTTTCCACACGCGGAGCCCCATTTGATGCTCCTCACGGTGCTGGGAGGTGGGCAGTTAGTGCTGCATCCCCTCATTCACCAAATATTTATCGCAAAGCAATGGAAGCTGATGGGGTTAACACAGGCGTGGTCCCTGTCCCAGCAAAGCTTACACTCTACACAAAGGGTTGGGGCTGATACTGCATCCCCAAGGCCCAGGGAAGTTGAAAGACTGGAATCACCCTTGTAGAGAATGCCGGAGTGGGGACTAGAACCTGAGTCTTGGGATGTTTACTCCCAAGGTTTTTTCTAAGTCTCCTTGCTATTTCCCAAGAGAAACAGGAAATCCTCCTGCTGCCCACGGGCTGTATTTCAATGGTTGGTCCATTGTACGTATAGTACTTGGAATGTGGGATACATTTTCCTATAGCAATTACATTATAAATGGTTACTATGTTACAAGGCCATCCAACAAAAAGCCCAGTTAACCCATTTAACCATAATGTAGCTGAAGAATGCTATTAATAGGACAATGCCTTTCACTGCTTCCCCCCCGGGGTGGGATTTCATGAGAGTTGTCGAAAATTGTTGCTCTGTGAATGAAACCACCTTTTGGCCTGTAGGTTTCCTTCCTAACTCACTGTAGGTTTGACACCACCCTAGTGTTAAAGGTTGCCTGCTCCGTTTATTTATTGCCCCCCCCATCTTTGCTGCTGTCTCTGCTGTGGGGTGTGTGTGTGTGTGTGTGTGTGTGTGGCAAGGAGCTAATGTGTATACACACCAGGCTTAGCTTGTGTGCTGTTAACAGAGTAAGTGCTCGTGTGGCTTAAGGACAAATATGTGGCTGTTTCCATAGATACCTGATCATAATAACTCATTAGACCAACATGCTTTCCAAAGCCTATTGCAGGGGCATCTGAGATGGAACATAGCCCGGATGTCCTCCATTATTGAAATATTTCTCCTGTTAATTCTCTCTGTGAGCAACAATCTATAACTTGGGATATCTTTGGTAGAGACTAAGTAGAAGTTAAAGTTTTGCTTTTCGATATCTTAAAGAGATGTTAGATAAATACCATGCCTCATTTGCATTTCCAAAAAGTTTTATTTATTTATTTATTTATTTATTTATTTCCAAGTGACCTAGAATTCCTCTAATGCTGGTAGAATTATTTGAAAACTACCTCCTAGCAACCCTTCCTCTAGGTACATCCTAAAAGGAATCTATACGGCCAGCGCTGTGGCTCACTTGGTTAATCCTCCACCTGCGGTGCCGGCATCCCATATGGGTACTGGGTTCTAGTCCCTGTTGCTCCTCTTCCAGTCCAGCTCTCTGCTGTGGCCCAGGAGGGCAGTGGAGAATGGCCCAAATGTTTGGGCTCCTGCATCCGCATGGGAGACCAGGAAAATCACCTGGCTCCTGGTTTCAGATCAGCGCAGTGCCGGCTGTGGCAGCCATTTGGGGAGTGAACCAACGGAAAGAAGACCTTTCTCTCTGTCTCTCTCTCTCACTGTCTATAACTTTATCTGTCAAAAAAAAAAAAAAAAAAAGAATCTGGCCAGCGCCGTGGCTGCACAGGCTAATCCTCCGCCTAGCGGCGCCGGCACACCGGGTTCTAGTCCCGGTCGGGGTGCTGGATTCTGTCCCGGTTGCCCCTCTTCCAGGCCAGCTCTCTGCTGTGGCCAGGGAGTGCAGTGGAGGATGGCCCAAGTGCTTGGGCCCTGCACCCCATGGGAGACCAGGAGAAGCACCTGACTCCTGGCTTCAGATCAGTGCGGTGCGCTGGCCGCAGCGGCCATTGGAGGGTGAACCAACAGTAAAGGAAGACCTTTCTCTCTGTCTCTCTCTCTCACTGTCCACTCTGCCTGTCAAAAAAAAAAAAAAAAGGAATCTGTACATATTTCAAAATTGTCATGAAAATGGAATTCAAATAAGTTTTATTTTGGTGCAAAAATATTTAAAAATTCATGCATAGGAGGGATCATCTTCAGAAAGTTCACAGAAAATGTGTATTATGGAAAAATATTATGCCCTAATGACAACATTTTTGTACCAAAATGAACTTATCGTTTAGTTCCATTTCCATGCGTATTTTGAAGCAGCCTCCTGCATGAATGGAAGCGTGTTCCTCTCTCCTCATTATTTTATGAAGACCCCTGTATCCATACCTCACCACCTTCTGCTCCCCCCTGTGTAATCTCAGAAGACCTTCATGCCCAGTTTCTCTCATTTCTAATATAATAATAGGTCAAACTTCTCTTGGAATCATAAGCAAATTAAAATTTAAATTGATGTGATTTGTATGAAAGGACAGCCATGCAGATATATATGAAAAGACAACAATGGAGAGTGGCTCTGGGCTCCTGGATTAAAGAGATGAGTAATTTTATGACTGCTAATCAGGCTCACGCATGGATGTTCATTAACGTGGGGTTCACCCAGGATCCCCTCCCCTCCCAGATTCAGCATCTACAGGCTGACTTTTAAGCAGGGCTTACAAGTTTTCCTTGGGACCATCGGTTACTATAACTCCCAAGAGAAGGGTTAACAGGTTTAGGAGAACCCAAGTTGAGCCCTGTGCACGCTCAGCTCACTCACGGGTGAGACGACCAAATGTATTGCTAACGATATTTGCAGGACAACAGAGAAGTGCTCCCTCGCTGCTATGCGTGGTGTTTCACTTTTAGCTAGTGCAAGTCCAGAAATAAAACAGAATGGCCTCCTGAAATCTGTACCGATATGCATTTCATAACAGCGACTGTGCAATTCACAGTTGAATTGATGAGCTATCAGGGTTACGTGCTTCTGTAAAACAGAGACATCTAACTTGGAAAAGCTTTCTCCAGGGAAACAGACCTATTTGAGTTGAATCAAAACAAGATTAAAGAGTGATTAAAGTGCTGCGGATACGACCTGTGTGGAAAGGTTGGAGGAGGTGGGATTGTTTAACTTGGGATCGCAAAGCTGCACAGAGATTTGGGGGAAACTCCAAGCGTCCAAAATATTTTCCAAGCAGTATTTTCTCCACCTCTACTGAGTATAGACGAGAAGGAATGATCTTAAATTGCATTATTAGGGATTTAGGTCATCAGTGGTGCTCAAGCCACAGCCACATGTAAAAATCACTTAGCAGCCGTTTAAAACATACTAATGCCTGTGTCCTATGTGAAACTAATGAGTCTCCAGAGGTGACATCCGAGCACTAGTGTTTCCTAACAGCTCTGCAGGTGATTCTAATCTGTGGCCAGAGCGGAGAGTTACTAGGTTAACCAAAGGGAGTTCCTGATGATCTGGCTCCCAGAAACATGAAAGCACCTAAAGATGTCTTTAAAATCTAGGACTGTCACAGCTGAGCTGGATGGCTGCTGGCTCTCCCAGCTGTCTTAATGTCTCCATTTCAGAACTGCCCACTCTTTCTGGCACTCAAAGCCTGGGAACCTCAAGTCACAGAGAGTATCTCAGCATATGTTCTTGATGAATATTTGTTGAATGGATAAATGAAAAAGTGAATGAATGTCACAAGAGCCCCAAGGAGGGCAGCTCGTAGTCTGTAATGCCAGTTGACAGGAGTAGGTTTGGAAATGGCTTCCCACAAGCAAGAGATTCTGAAAATTAAGATAGTGCCACCAAACTTTGCGATTCAAAAAATGCCTCTAAGCATCAAGTCTTTTATATCATACAGTTGTAGAGATAGAAGTCAAAGTTCTCAGTTAACAAGGGGGCTGTCATTAGGGTGTAACAAGGAAAGCTGTCACCTGCAGTGCCGGTTCGAGCCCTGGCTGCTCCACTTCCAACCCAACTCCCTGGTAATGACCTAGGAAAGCAGCAGACAATGGACCAAGCGTTTGGACCCTTGCTACCCACATGAGAAACCTGAATGAAGCTTCTGGCTCCTGGCTTCATTGCAGCCACCTGGAGAGTGAACCAGTGGATGGAAGATCTCTCTGTCTGTCTTTCCCTTTCTCTTTGGAACTCTGACTTTCAAAACAAAACCAAAAAATCTTTAAAAAATATGTTAACAAGGCAAGGATACTATTGAAGTGGGGATAACGTGTTCATCACAAACTTTTGAAGTTTTAGGGGAAAGGGAAGAAGAGACAGTCAGTGGCATGCGCAGATGGAAGGATTCTCTGTGCGATTTTGAAGAGAGAGCAGTGCAGAGGGCCTGTTGAGATGCTCAGCGGGCATCAGAGCTGAGGGAGGAGGTGCAGAGGAGATCGGATTAGGAGCACATGTAGAGATGCCTCAGCCTGATGCAGGCCATGTCTGTGCTCCACTGCTCCGTGACAAACTGTCCTAAAATCGCCCTGATTTGTGCCTGGAGAATTTGGGCAGAAAGTGGCTGGCTGCGTCTCCTGCTCCACATGGTGTCAGCACGATTAGAATGGTCTGGGAAGTTCAAGACAGCGTCACTCACCTGCCTGGTTGCCATGGAAGAGCCAGGCTCTCTGTAGAGCTGAAGGCCGTTCATTGTGGTCTCTCCATCAGGGGTGCTGGGCTTTGGTGTGACCGTGTAGAACCCTGGTGGGCCATGGTGGGAGCCCTCAGTGCTCTCAGGCTGGGGATGGCACTGCCATGCTCTGTTGATCTAGCAA